CCATCCACCCATCTACTCACCCACCCATCTACCCACCCATCCATGTACACATCCATCTACCCATCTACCCATCTACACATCTACACATCTACCCACCCACCCATCTACCCACTCATCCATCTACCCACCCATCTACCCACCCATCCATGTACACATCCACCCACCCATCTACTCACCCACCCATCTACCCACCCACCCATCTACCCATCCACCCACCCATCTATCCACCCATCCATCTACCCATCTCCCCACCCACCCACCTACTCATCCATCTACCCATCTACCCACCCATCTATCCATCCACCCACCTACCCTATCTATCCACTCAGCTGCCTACTCACCCATCTACTTACCCACTCATCTATTCAGCTAGCCATCTCATCATCTATTCACCCGCCCTGTTCTTCTATCCATCTGTCCACCCCTCCACTCACATCCATCTACCCACCCATTGCCCTATCCATCCTCCCATCTGTCCACCCACCCATTTTGTCTTTAGCTACCCACCCACTTACCATCTATCATTCATCTATCCACCCACGCACTCCTCTACTCACCCATCCGTCCATCCATCCACCCATTCTTCCATCCACCTACCCACTCATCTATCCACACACTCCTTTATCCTCCTGCTCATCATCCATTCATCCATCTACCTATCCACTTATCCATATATTCACTCATCCACATATCCACACGTTCATATATCTACCCATCCATATACCCATCCACCCATATATACATAAAAACACTTCCCCTTCCACCCACCTATCTGTGTTAGGGGTGCAGGGGACAGGGGGTGGCTGCTAGTGAAGACAGAGGCTCCATGGATGTTTCTCCCAGGATGGAAAGAAGAGTCTAGCAGAGTAGCTCTGCTCAGGACTACTAACCGTGAGGTGCTCATCCTTGAACACCCGAACCTTTGCGTGGTCATTCTCGGGAAGCCGAGAGTCAGCAAGTTTAGTTCTCAAGACCACACAGACAGCAAGATTCCTATCTAGGGCAGCCGAGGGCTGGGTGTCCCTGAAGCAGGAAGACAGAGAAGGAGAGAGAGAGAAAGAGAGAGAAAGAGAGGGAGAGAGAGAAAGAGAGAGAAAGAGAGAGAGAGAGAGAGAGAGAGAGAGAGAGTGAGAGAGAGGGAGAGAGAGGGAGAGAGAGAGAGAGAGAGAATGTAACTCAGACAGATCCATGGCAAGTGCAGCAGTGGCTGCTCTGATGATTGACAGAAACAACCAGCCTCCACAAACACTCCCAGGAGCCTCCTCAGCATGGCCAGCCAGGCACTAACTTGGGCCTTCAAAGGCAGATGAAGAAAAATACCTCATCTTGAAGGAAGGACTCAGGCTGGGCATCTTCAATCACTTACTGTGTACCTAGACCTTGGCAGACTTACCCATATCCCAGATGCTCACTGAGCCTTCTATCTGTCACCCCAGCCTCTCTTCCCACAGTCCTCTGGGCCTCCTTCGCTGCCCCAGGCACCAGCTTCCAGCCCCCAAGTCACAAAGCCAGACAGCAGAGGTAGCATGAGAGCCTCATGGCGCAGCTCACAACCCACCCTTCCGCATCAGCTTCTGCACTTGGACTGTGGAGGCAGTGACCCAAGAGAGTGCTGGCCAATATGGCTGAGAACTTGGGCTCCAGGGCAAGGATACTGGGGTTTGAAAGCACAGGGCCATGAATGCATGGCCTAGTTTTTCCCAGCCTTGGTTTCCTCATCTATAAAATGGGGTTGCAAGTGGCCATCCAGGAGGAGAAGGATGGCTACAAGGATTCAGGTGCTCCTTTCCTCACATGTCTGATACATCAAAGAGTTCTGTATTAGCCACTGTTCTCAGTGCTGCAACAAAATACCCAACAAAAGCAACTTAAGGAGGAAGAGCTCCTTCCACAGGAGCTTGGGGAGGCTGGTCACATTGTATCCACTCTCAGGAAGCAGAGAGCAATGAAGGCCAGCGCTTGGCTCAGTCTCTCCTTTTTGAGTCCCGGCCTCCAGCCCCTGCTTGCTGCCCACATTGAAAGGGAGTCTTCCCACTTCAGTTAACTCAGTTTGGAAATCCTCTCATGGACGGACATTTCCGGAAGCTTGTCTAGATGATTCTAGATCCTATCAACTTGACAGTCCACATTAAACATTGGAGGCATGTAAAGCAAACCCAGGTCTGGGTGTAGGTTCAAGTCAAGATCAGGTGACAGTGGCCTAGGAGAGCATGGAACAGTACCACTGTCCCTCTACCTGATCTCTGGGAATCCAAATGCAAGGAAATGGGGTGACGGGAGTTGCTAGGAGCTGCTAACACTTGAGGTATTAGAAAAAGTGGATCTGGAGGCTTGGGAGCAGAGAATACTCACAAGGCTCTGTGGCTGTCCTGTGAGGGAACTTGGTGGCCCAGGAGGAGAGAGGTTGACCTTTTCTTCTGCCGGCCTCTTGCAGGGGGCCGTGTGAAGACATGGAAGCGACGCTGGTTTATTCTCACGGACAACTGCCTCTACTACTTTGAGTTCACCACTGTGAGTGTGTGGGGAGGTGGGAATAGGACACAATCAGCCACAACCAGACCCTACAGCCCCTGTCACTGCAAGAGAGTGTTAGGCCCTTTTAGATGGTCCAGTGTCCCTGTGATCTTATTTCTCAGGTATGGAAAACTCAGAGGCAAAAAGGAGAAGGCTGGACAAGGGAGAGAGCCCTGGCTTAAAGTTGAGTTTCCTGGGCTAGGGCTGTGGGGCTGTTAAAGTGTAGGTCTAACCTGTGTGAGGCCCTGGCCAATTCCCAGCACTGAAAACAAAATGAAACAAAACAACCATTGTTCAAAGACAGATGGAGTTCCTAAAGGCTGGGCATGGGGCTCATAGCCACAATCTCAGCACTGAGAAAGCAGGGACCTAAGGATCTTAACATGTTCAAGGCCAACCTGGGCTACAGAACAATATCCTTCAAAAAAAAGAATATAAAAGGGGCAGGGGGCTGGAAAGATGCCTCAGCAGTTAAGAGCACTGGCTGCTCTTCCAGGGGACCTGGGTTCGACTCCCAGCACCCACATGGTGGCTCACAGCTGTCCGTAACTCCAGTCATGTGGGGGGATCTGTCGCCCCCTTCTGGCCTTTGTGAGTACTGCCTACATGTGGTGCACTTACATGCATTCAATTGGGCCTACCAGATCCCAACCAAGGCTCTGGTGCTGAGCCACTATACGGCCAAGCAGTGTGCAGGGAGAGTATGAGACCCTAAGCTTATTTCCTACCCTTGACTTTGCTTCCTTAGGACAAAGAGCCTCGGGGGATCATCCCCCTGGAGAACCTCTCTGTGCAGAAGGTGGATGACCCCAAGAAGCCGGTGAGAGTCCAGCTGGGGATTCCCTGCACGGCTGAGGGAAGGGGCCTGCATGGGACCCTCCACAAGGCCCCGACACTCTGTAGGGTCTCTCCTGAAGCTTTGAACACAGGAGGGTCAGTGTCATTGAAAGAACAAGTCTCAGTTGTCTTGTGGAGCTTGGCTCTGGCACTAACTGGGGAACTTCTAAATCTCAGCTCTTTTCTGAGCCTTGGTATACACACACACACACACACACACACACACACACATGCACCCCAGATCTGTTACATGGGATTTAGGAAACCTTGTATGTAGTAAGTGTTCAGTCTCCTCTCCCTCTGAGCTGTTTGGGAAGGGCATTCAGTGAGAGTGTTGCTCTTGCTTCCTTGACCCCCCAAGAATGTCCTACCCTGTCCCCCCCCCCCGGGGGGGAGCCGCACATGGCACCTCACACAGTTCTGCCTGGAGCTGTACAACCCCAGCTGCCGAGGTCAGAAAATAAAGGCATGCAAGACGGATGGGGACGGCAAGGTGGTAGAAGGCAAGCACGAATCCTACCGCATCTCAGCTGCCAACGCCGAGGAGCGTGACCAGTGGATTGAGGCCATCAGGTGAGGGGCAGCAGGGACAGTGGGCATCTCCTGTCCCCTTCTGACTTCTTTGGGGGGAGTCTTCTTTCCTTGTCTATAAAGGAACATACTCCAGATCTCCTTCCTACTGGGTGGCCTTCGGTGGGCATGTTCTTGAGCCAGGTAACAAATCCAGGGAAGACAGAAGGAAGAGGTTCAGTGGGAGGCCCCAGGCACTTGGTGCTTGCAAGGAGCTCAGCCTGGAAGTGGGTGGGGCAGGACGGGGAAGGGAGGAGGAGGGGGGAGGAGGAAGAGGAGGAGGACTACTCTGTATGTAGATAACAGGGCAGACATGGGCGGTGGGAGACTTGTCCACTACAAAGCAGCAGTGGCCACTGGACAAGAAATTTGAAGAATCAGAGAGACCAGAGATGGCAGACCCTTGCTCAGAGACACACAGCAGTGAGGGGCCCAGTTGGCTCCACCACCAGCTCTCTTGATTCTCCTGGGTTTCTAAAGGGGCTAGAAAGGAGTCTGGTGATGTCTGCTGAGCTCTCACCTCCTAACCTGAGGTCCATCCTCACTGGGCCTGCCTCTGGGACAAGGCTAACAGGGTGCTCTTCTCTACAGCCATCCCTGGCCACTCCTGTGCAGCAGGGTGAGCCACATGTCCCAAATCATAAGCCTGGAAGTCCCTACCCTCCAGCATCCTGAAGTCTCATTTTCTCCCTACCCCTAGGGCCAGCATCACCCGAGTCCCCTTCTACGATCTGTTGTCTGCTCGGAAAAAGAAGATTGTCAGCAAGCAGTGAGCTTCTGGGAGGCAGCGCTGGCAACCCCGTAGGACCTATGGTATCTGGAGTCACAGAGACACACCTCTCACCGGCTGTGCCTGTTCCTGCTCACGAGCCTGCCCCTCCCCATCACTGGAACTGGCTGTTGGTGGATGTGGCTCCTCAGAGGACACAGAGCTCACAGGAAAAGCTCTACCTGGGACTACTCTGGCTGAAGGTTAGGATGGGGAGATAAGCCAGCCTAGAACCCACTACCATGTATCCCATCTTCTCCCTCCCAGCAGGAGGACCATGGATTTCCTGGAGGCTTCCAGCTCAGAGGTTTTCCTTCCCTCAGATTGGGCCAGGTCCTCTCTGCCATGGACAAGTATCAGGATTCATCTACCTTGGAACCCCGAAGCTTCAGACAAACCCCTCCACCAAACACAGCCCTCCTCGGGGTCTTACAAAATGCAGAGTTTGGATAGGAAATATTTTGGCCCAGCAGGCTTTTGGTCAGCTTGGCTTCCAGGGGGAGCTGGGACACCAGGTGACTGAATGAGACAGACTGAGCTGGAAGGTTCTGAGGATGCTGCTAGCACTGTTCCCAAGGGTGCTGGCCTGAGAAGATGAGCAAAGGAGACTGTGGCAGTATCTGGCTGGCAGATCTGACTGAGCAGAGGACACTGTGGCAGTATCTGTGGCTGGCAGGTCTGACTGAGCAGAGGACACTGTGGCAGTATCTGTGGCTGGCAGGTCTGACTGAGCAGAGGACACTGTGGCAGTATTTGTTGCTGGCAGGTCTGACCTACAGCTGAGAAAAATGAGAGAAGAGAATGCTTCAGGTTGTGCCCACCAGGAGAGATGCTTGGAGGCCACAGCAAGCCAGCTGGTAGCACAGGACTCAGGCTTGGACAGACAGGCCATGGCCCATTGCCAGCTACCTGACCAGCAGAACTAGGGTAGCCAGGGCTGCAGAATGGGCCCTTGCTCCTGCCTCCTGCTAGAACAAGGCCAGTTTTCCATACACAGCAGGCTGCTGTGTCCCCAGGGAGGTCCCTCTTGGTGGATGCTTCTCCCCCAGAGCACTTGTACCTCCTCCCCTGCCTGAGGAACTCCCCCCCCTCCGAAAAAGTTCCTCAGCAAGGCAGCAAGAAATGTGCCCTGTACCAGCATGGACTCTGAAAAGGAGCAGCAGGTGGCCAGGCTGTCCTTATCCTTTGTAGGAGCCCACATGTGTGCATTCTCTACAGGATAGGAAGAAGAGAAGCACAGTGTGGGGAGGGGGAGGGGAAGACACCCATCTCAGGAGTGATACACGCCCGGGAGCTGAGGCACCGGCAAGGCAAACAGAGCTCTTGCTGGACAATTGAGGACTTTCTGGTGAGCTGAGCCCATACCAGCTGCCCACATTTGGGGGTTAAGAGACCCTAAAGTCTTCATCTGCCTCTGGCATGTGTGTGTGCACAGAGGCTGTCTGACTCTTGTTCCTTCCCCTCTCTGATCCTCAGCTTCTTCCCCAGCACCGAGGTGGCAGAGGCATCATTTTCTTTCTTGTAACACTTAGAAGCAAGAATAAAAGAGGAAGAAGGAGCACTCCGTGATCCTTGGGACATTGTGGGGGGTGGGGCAGGGGCGGGGCTTACCATGCTGGACAGAAGTTCCCCAGAAGCTGAGCTCGGTGGGCTTTCTTGGGCCAGGAGTAGCGGCTAGGCTGAGTTGGTTCTATTCCCAGAGAAAGACAGAATTTTCCAGAAGGCAGCACTATTTACAGATAAAACAAGTGATATGGAAAGTAGATAGTGATCCCACTGCCTCTGGAGGAATGCAAGCACAGGCACCAGGGACCAGTGTGGGGAAGGATTGTATAGGCTTTGCCGACTGTCTTCACACAGATGTTTATAAAGTGTCCCAGCTGTGCCAGGCTCTGTCCCAGGCACTGGCAGGCCAAGATAGAATCCCTACCACCTGGGCTCATGATCCAGTGCTCTCCGGTCCTTCACCCAGGCTCCAGACTAAAAATCCCACTATCAGGACCCTCCTCAAAGATCCTTTTGGCTGAACTAGCTCAGCTTACCCATAGTTTCCCTCTGTTGTCCCATGTATTGAGTGTTTATGGTGTACCAAGATCTCTGCAGCAGAGCCAGGGATCCAAAGACCCCTGTGACCACAGTGACATCCAAGGCCGGAGGCTGGAGAGATAGCTTGCCAGTTAAGTGCACTGATTGCTCTTCCCAGAGGACTGAGGTTTGGTTTCCAGCACCCACACAGCTCATACCACTGTAACTCAGGAGATCCAACCTCCTCTTCCGGCCTCCACAGACACACAGTAAACACACATACACACACAAACACACACACATGCATGTACACACACGGGCACACACACAAATACACACATCCACATGCATGCACACATGTACACACATGCACAATATGCACACATCCACATGGACACACATACATGCACACATGCACACACACACGTGCACACATACACACTCACACAAACACACATACATGTACATGCAAATAATAATAATCTTTAAAAATAGCATTCAAAGCATGGTGGCGCACGCCTTTAATCCCAGCACTTGGGAGGCAGAGGCAGCTGGATCTCTGCGAGTTCAAGGCTAGCCTGGTCTACAGAGTGAGACCGTGTCAAACACAAATCCTCAGTGCAGACCCAGCACAGACTGGCATGCACAGGGGACAGTGCAGGACTGGGCTGGGCAGATAAATCCAGGAGGAAGGCACCTAGGCTAGGCAGCCAGGCCTGTATTGCAGAGTCATCTCATCCTCCAGGCTGTGAGGTCCATGCAGGTCTAACTGTGCACTTGCTGAGCACCTGCACACAGTGGGTTCAAAATAATTGTTAGTTTGGCTGAAATTATCTGATTTAAAAACAAAAACAAAATCAAGAAAACCTTTGAGGCCTCAACATCAATAGGTTCCAGGGTCTGGGGCCTCTGAGACCAAAAAAGACAGATATTTCTAGGGGCAGAGAGGGCCCAGGGCTACATCACACCCGAACATTTGGAGGTCCCTCTGATTCTGTTCAAGACCTCCCCAGGGAGTGGGTTTCACCTATTTCTGCTAATGTGCAGTACTACATCTTGCCAGCAGGAGGAGCTCACCACACACAGATAAGCTTTCTTCTGAAGTCGGAAGGACAGAGCCTGGACCCCTGACCAGCCCAGAAAGGGGTGAGGAAATCACGGATGGGTGTGGGGTGGGGAGCACCATTTGGTCAGCTAGGGCCTGTGGCCTTGAGCAGCCCTTTAGGGGCCTATTCCTCCCTCACACACCACACACACACACCACACATCTGCCTCTTCCGCCTTCTTTCTGGCTGTGTACCTCAGAACAGGCTGCTCCCCGTGTGGATTAGATTTTCCTCCCTGAGAACTCCTTTAATGGCACTCACCTTTAATGGAGATGTCTACAGACAACAAGGTCTCAGGAATGGGCTCAGCACAGACTCTTCCCTAGGCTGGAGCAGCGAGAGGGGGTGACAAGCAGGTCTCCGATTGCCACTTACTTCTATGGAGGGGCAGCGACGAGAGCCTCCCAGAAGGCCTGGGTTCAAGGGCTCACTCTCTTCCATGTCTTAAGTAATTTTTTTTCAGCATTCAGTGCCTCGGACAACCCACCTGTAAAATGGGAAGGTTCAAGGGCTCACTCTCTTCCATGTCTTAAGTAATTTTTTTCAGCATTCAGTGCCTCGGACAACCCACCTGTAAAATGGGAATAGCTAAGTATATATGAAATGCTTAGGTTAGTGGGGCAGCAAGAAAGCTTAATGGCTAAAGTTACTTGGCACCAAACCTGAGGATCCAAGTTAGATCCCGAGTACCCACAAGGCAGGACAGAAGCAACTCATGAATGTTGTGTCCTCTGGCCTCTGTATATGCTGGGACACTTATGCATGCACACGTGTGCACATACACACACTCACATACACACGCGTGGCCCGTAAGAGACAAGATGAGGTGAGGTGTTCGGGGAAGACCCCTAGGCTCCAACACAAGCCTCAGTGGGCCGAGCGCGGGTGCTGTGGTGATAGCCAGGGTCAGGCCTGAGCTGTAGCGGATGTGGCTCCTCCCGGCATCCCTAGGCCTGGTAGCTCCTAGCTGCAGGGAGCTCTGAAAGGCTCCAGGACCGCAGCTGTTGAATGGAGGCCAGCCCAGCACGAGGAGGCCTGGTCTGGCCCAGAATGCCTGGGGAGAGAGAGGAAACAGCGAGAGGACCACTGCCAGGATCCTGGGGGCTGGAAGTCTCTGTAGTGCCCAGATGTCAGGCGACAGGACACGGGGGCAGGCAGCCTGGAGTTGGAGGCTGGGTTGAGAGACCTGGAGAAGTTGATTTATTAGGGACGATGAAAGGAGCTAAATATGTTTGCTGCTCAGCGATGACTCAGGCATTCCCCAGGGGTTCAAGAGAATGAGCATCAAAGAACCAAAGGCAAGTCTCCTCCTACCAGGGCACTGCCAGGCCCCTCCTCCCCAGCGATAGGAAACAGCCACTCTGGCCTACAAGGCCCAGGCACTAGCTGACCTCACCCAGAACGGCTGAAGAAAGACCCCTCAGAGAGAGGCAGGTCCAATCCTGGATTTTCTCCAAATTGCTGTGTGATCTTAGTCCAGTGGCTGGCCCTCTCTGTACTCACATTCTCTACCGAAATGAACCAGGCCCCACCTCCTTCTCTCACCCCATTGGCTTCTCTCAGAAGTTTCTTTACCAGAAAAGCTCCCGACTGCTCTCCAGGAGAGAAGCCAGACACCACAGAACCTGGGAAAGGGGAGGCAGCGGCTTTCCAGTGCCAAGATGCAGGCCTGGCGCTGGGACCCAGGATGAACTGTGTGCTAGCCAGAGGTCACAGTGACAGAGGAGCAAAGAGAAAGCAGGGAGGGGTTGGGGGGACATGTCACCCTGAAGGTCTGCTCTGGGAAGTGTGGGTATCCCCCAAACAGCAGCTGGACACCTGTGGGAAGTGGGGAGCAGTTTGATGAAGTGGGCAACTTCCCGGTTTCATGGCTACCTTAAAACGGCAGGACACAGAGAGCTGCAGAAAGGCTTCTGGCGTGCAGCCTCCAACTGTGGGCAGTGTCTAGAATCGCTCTGTGGACTCTCCATTAGGATGGATTAAGGAAGACACAGGGAACTGGCAAGCATGTGGGGGAGATGCAGCCAGCAGCCTGGTACAAGGCCAGACTCAGGATGAACAGGTCACAGTCAGTGGAGGGGGTTACAAGGTGCAAGACCCCTTATTGGGGCAGTCAGCTAGACTAGCCGGGAAGCCCTTCCCTTCCCCATTGGCCCTCCCCTCCTGCTTCTGTCCTGTCTCCCTTTCTTGGTCACCCTGCCCTGGCCCAGTGGCATATTGTAAGTAATTGAAGACCTGAGTTCAAATCCTGGCTTTTCCCACGGCAAGCTGTGTGTCTCTGAGCCAGATCCCCTGCTGTCTCTAGACCTTGTCAGCTTACCACCTGCCACAGGAAGCTGGGGGTTCCCAGCTATAATCTTGGAACCCAGAGTTTCTAGTTGGCCTGCTAGCCCAGGATAGCCCCGAGGAAAAAGTAGACTTTCTGTGGGTCTCAGAAGTCCCTGGCCACTCTCTTCTCCTACCTTAAAAGCTGCAGTGGTCTAGCCTTAACAACCCTGCCACTAATGACTCCACAGTCGTCCCTCAGTTTTCTTTTTCTTAGGAGAATTGTTTGGAGGTTTGGTTGCTTGAAATGGGGTTTCACGGTTCTAGGCTGGCCTAGACCTCATGGGTAGTCCTCCTGCCTCAGCTTCTTGAATTCTGGGATTCGCTTTCTGAGACAGGGTCTCACTCTGTAACCTATGCTGGCAACAACTCTCGGTGATCCCCTTCCTCAGCCTCTGAAATTCTAGGGTTCCCAGTGTCTACCTCCACACTCAGCCTCCTCTTGATTTCTCGAAATCTCAGTGTTCCACATTGGGCACAGACAGCACAACCCACCCGGGCCAGCACGGATACCACAGTCCCAAATGCCAAACACATATCAGCCACTCCAGCTGCCAGCAAACCCCCTTCCTCCCCCTACACTCTCCAATGCAGGGAGAGTTCCCTGTGCCGTAGCGTGCCAGCCAGCTTCTCCCAAGACGCCAGCCTTTCTCTTGTCCCAGTTATGTGGCTACAATTCAGCTTCTGGTGCAAAGGCATGGCAATCTAGGGCTGCCTGCAAAGAGGCTGTGAGTGCGGCTGGTGTTGAAACACTTCGTCCATGTTCTGCTTAACCACAGCCCTATCCAGGGACCTCTTAACCAGTAAAAACAGCCAGCCTGCCTGCCTGCCTGCTGCCTGCTGCCTGCCTGCCTGCCTGTCTGCCTGCCTGCCTGCCTGCCTGCTTGCCTGCCTGCCTTCCAGAGGAAACAAAGGTTCACTATTATTAAGATACCAACACAGGACACTACCGGGCCCCTAAAGGCAGAAGATCCCTCCATCTTCTAGACATAAGTCACCACTTCCTCCCAGTAGCCCACGGGGAGATAGGATCACCCCCTTCAGTAGATGAGTGTTAGGAGCAGATTGCTTATCACAGTGGGGGCAGATCCTTCCGCTGAGGGTCAGA